GTGGGTGGGGTGTGGGTGTGGGTGGGTGTGGGTGTGGGTGTGAATATGGGTGTGGGTATTGATATCGCTGCTCCTTTCATGAAGGTCAACACCCACACCCTCTAAAATTTGAACGATCTTTCTGCTGTAGTACAGTTGTATAAAATTCATTTGTTGTTTCCTATCTTTAACAAAGTTCGATGCGATATATGGATTAACTCAATATGATAAAATACGTTACGAAAACTATACTTGAATGTTTCGATCTAGCAGATTCTAACAATACTGGCATTTATGACTGTCTCTGATTCACTTACTCTGATTTGATGACAATTGCTTCTTCTATTACGGTTTTCTATGAGTCTCATAATGTTCGCGTCTACTATTTGGTGTCTATGGTGGATCAAAACATCTGTCTATGAATAATAAGTAAGAGAGTATTAAATCGCTTATAGATTCAGATAGACCTCTTCCAATTTGCATTATGAGAAGGCGTACACATCTCTATGAGATCAGTTTTTTGTCGTCGATGGCGCATGTAAATCATATAAAAAGAGGCATTATCTTTTCTTTCTTCATCGTAATTTCAACATAGACGCATACTGCTTGCTTGTCAACCCGAAAAATCAAAACTTCCAATTGCCAAAATTATTTTGTATGTCTCAAGAGTGATAAAAAAAAGGGAGATATTATTCTGCTAACGAATACATTTTCTTCGTATACACAATCGATAAAATCGACAGTAAAGAAAAGTAAGTGCCGGTTCTATATTTTCTTTTTGTCAATGCATTTGATATTTTGTAGTTTTTTCTCCTCACTGTAGCAGTTATCTCTCGAGAAGGCCCCTGATTAAACTGTACGAGTTGAAATTGATACAGGTTACGAATCTAGCATATCGTATTGAGCGTTTATGATAGTTCGTTTAGTATTTTCTATTGTTATTAAAAAGATATTTTTGGTATTTCAAAAGACAATGAATCTTCATTTTCGTAAATATGCAAAGATCACAATAAAATCTAGAAGATAACTATCATATATAAATTCACAGTCCCTTGTTGAAATCATCTTCTATGCGCATGTTCAGTTTTACACCTCGATTCAACTTTCATCAATATAGATCTTTCTGTATCAATTATCTTTGAAACTCACAATTAACAAACAACATCATGAAAGCATTGTTGCCAAATATTGTGCCAAGCATATTCCGAACAATAAGGTGATCTTTAATGCGAGCTTACAACGTTAATACTTCAACAATGATACGACGAGGTACAATGGAGGATGCACCAGCTGTTTTGAAGCTTTACAAAAAAAAGTTGTAACTGTCTATCCAGACCAAATGACTCAACGAATCGATGAACTTACATTAGGCTCCGTAAATTCTGCACTGTGGCAAGCTACACTTTGTGGTATAGTCCTAGTAATGTTCCAGAATGAAAATCTGATTGGATTCTTCAAGACATACACAAACGAATTTTGTCGACAAACTCACGTTCACAGCAACCTCACAATTATGATTGATCCTACTAGCGTACGCCAAGGATTTGGCACTGAGCTATGGGTAGCATGCGAGAATGCCCTACTTAAGTCTTTTCCACATATTATTGTCACAGAAATACTGCCACATGACTCAAATATGGATGCGATTAAGTTATACAATAGAATGGGCTACGTTACTGAAGCCAAGCTTCCTAAGAAGATTTGGTATACAGATGGTAGTTTCGGTGATCAAGTTGTATTGTATAAGATGAACCTTAATTTCTGCGAGCAATCACTTCTGAAATATCAGAAATATTTAAGAAACTTGTTGCATGAAACGCATGATTATGCATGATCAACTTCTGTGTCAATTTGTTTAAAATTTATGTTTCATTATAAAAATCAAAAATAATAATGTTTCTTATTTGTATCAAATATTTCCTGAGAAAATCCATTGAAGATAAATTAATCAGCGTCATAATGAAGCTCTTTCCGTTTTATTTTTGATTATTCTTTGATAGTGATACAGAAGGACAGCGATTGCAAAGTGTACGGGGATGAAGATAAATGGCTACGCTTCCACTAGGGGTGGCACTGTACGTTAATTTAATATTAAGTGCTAAAGCAATACTTAATTTAAAAAAATTAAATATCCCGTTAAGACTTAATACTAAGTAATTAAGTGGCTAATGTAAACATTTTTTTTATTAATATTAAATGTTAAGTAAAACTACTTAATTAGCACTCTTAATTAGCTCAAATTAAAATCAATGGTCCACCCCTAACTCCCGTATCACGCGCGCATTTATATTCATATATGAATGCGAAAAACAAGCAAGAACATTGCAAAGATATACACAAAAGAGAAGAGAAAGTTATATTTGGTTTTGAAATTCTAAACTTTCGCAACAAAATAACTTTTCCAAACAAAGTGTCTATGATTTCATTTGAATTCACTTGTCAAAGTTATTAATTTTACCTATACAAAATATTACGATACTGAAATAATATAAATTAGTTTTAAAGATTTATATCGGTACACTAGTAGTTAGTTTACTGGTACATTAATTGGTAGAGCTCAGTAGGGTTAATTTTAAAATAACAAAATCAGGCATTGCTCTGTATATTGATTCGATAAATATTAAAAATTACCTTTTGTTAAAATCATCAAAGTTTTTGATTGACCTAAATCAATAATACTTTACGAAGATTTTGATCGACTTCACGAAGTTGGCATTAAGATAGAATGAGCAATTTGCTTTTTTAACATTCCGAATTGTTGACATGTCAAGAGTTGTCATAAAGTCACTTGATATAGGAATATCAAATAAAATCTTGATCCAATCTTAGCAGATTTTATTTTGTATGAATAAAAAGCTCTCTTTTCATATTTTATTCCAACAAAGGATGGTGATTTTCTTTGCAAATACTTTTAACAAATCTTGCAAAGAAAGAATTTGAAATCTAAAGAAAATATTAGAAGGCTCTCCAAAGTTTCCCTGATACTATTTAGTGTGCATAATCATAGTTCTTGAATCTGAATCAAAATTAATTAGTAAACATTGTATACATATGAATAGAAAACCGTACAATAGTTAAGTACCAGATTTAAACTCGAGGATTTCGATTCAATCTTGAGTGCAACTCTTTTTTTTTCTCCAGTAAATTAATAAAACTATAAGTCAAGAGTAAAGACTCTCCTATGATCCACTTACATCCAGGAAAGTATACTCGGTTACGTTTCACTATCGCTTGTTATTGATGATCATGATCTTTAATATTTTATTGATTCAGAAAACATGGCAGAAGAAAAGTACAAAAAGCTGGTTAATATATGATTGGAATATATATATGCGTTAAACGTAATTAATAGATATAATATTCACAAAACGTTTGTATTTTTCATTTGATACTGCGATTCAACAGGTATTGTTTGACGAAAATTACCTGATGATCTATGAATTTAACGTCAACGGCCATTTCCAGGCGCACATGGTGCTCTTGCTTTTTTAAATACACTTTGAACTTGCGTTGTACAATCCGTATTATGCTCTTCAAGTTCATCACGAATCATTCTTTCTAAGTGTTCATGTTTCATTTCTTTACTCATTTTATCATCCTAGAAAGAAAGAAAAAAACCATAACAATTCTCACATTGTCTATCCTATATTTTCTCTAGACTTACTTCTGAAATACTATTCAGAATTTTTGTTAATGCTTCACGTCGTTTCATTTTTCCTTTTTCTATCGTTTCTAATTTGTTTAAAACATTATCAATCTAAATTTTAAAATTACGCATAAAAACGTAAGAAAAACAAACTGCGTCGTCATTACCCGAGAAACAATATTTCCAATAGAATATTCCATACGATCAATACGGTGTACTAGCATAACAAATTTATCGTATGCAATACGATTTTCATTATCACCCTCGTTTCCATTTGATGCTTGATCATTACCATGTCTAAATTAATTGATTTCGAGAGAAAAACCTATGAATAAAACTTTTTCTTACTGATCATGCGGATCATTTAAATCTTTAATATCCATCTCTAAATGATTTTCTTGTGCAGCTAAATCAGCTTTAAATCGACGTTGTTCATCATCACGAAGTACACGATCGCCATCAACATCATAACGTGAAAAAACATTTTCAATTTCAACATCCGCATAACCACGAGCTTTTAAATTTCGACGCCATTCGTCAAACTAAATGTTATTTACTGAATGCAAAAAAATAACAATAGAAGACGCCGACGACTTACTTCAATGACACCATCTCGATTGAGCTCAGCACTTTTTAATGCATTTTGTATATCAATAATACGCTGAAATAGAAAAAAAAACAAATTATGATAATTATCATAGATAATTTAATAACTTACATCTTGTTTAAAATTCAATCGGTCGAGCATTTTTTCGTAGGATTTTTGAAAATAATCACCCAATTCAAATTCCGACTTTTGTGTTGTTATATCACTTTTAACTTCGGAATACGTATCATTAATAATAGCCAAAAACATGTTCAATAATACAAAGAATACAAAAAATACATATGTTAAGAAGAATATAGGGCCAAGAACACGATGAGCAGTCAAAATTGCTAAAATGCAAATTCAAAATACAAGAAAAACAAAATAACATTTCTATTTTACCATTAAAATCAAAATCGCCCAAAATAATACGAAACAACGTAAAACTATAAAACAAAGTATACAAAAAGATTGATTCAAGTGATAAGAATTTACATCGAAATTGAAAATGTTTTATAATCATCAACCATTGTACCAAATAATAAATAACCCAGTTGTGCATATGCCAAAAAGACAATCATAAACATAACACTAAAACCCATTACATCTTTTGCACAACGTGATAAGGTTGTCGATAATTGCGTCATCGTTTTATTGAATGAAACATATTTGAAAATCTAAATAATTCAGTTTTTTTGCAAATTTTTAATAAAATATGGTCACAACGAATCTTATGTTGGCGTAGGGCTACTGAACTGGATCGGACATTTTTCTTGTGTCGATATGGGAACTAGTCTCATTATTATCGGACTAGGTGGTCGAAAAGCAGGCCCGAATGTAACGACGTAAAACATGAAAAATATTAATAGTAGAAGTGGCATATCATCATATATATATACTCAAGTATTCTAGTAGCTATAAAAACAGTTTGAATTTATGTCTTACAGCACTTTATTTGAGGTTTCAAGAAATCCAATTGAATTTTTGGAGCCTTCTTCTAGTTTATATGGTGAGACGTGCAGGAGAGGCATAGCAAGTGTGAGTGTTGACACAGTATCAGGTGCAATTACGACGTTATCCCTAATACATCTACTATAACTCGAATAAAGGCAACTATGCAAGATCTCAGAACGCTAAAAAGAAGTCATCGAATCTTTTTTTTTTGATTCATCTCTACGAATCAATCTTGGGTCTTTTCGCGCAAGAAGCATTACTCAATTATTTTCTGATATCTTACTTTAATCCATGCAAGAAAAACGGCAAATGCGACAATATTATTGAATTGTATTTGCCAGTAGGTAAGAAATTCAAAATCAGCAAAACTATTTTGATTTTTTAATAATTCATCAAGAATTTGCCCGACTTTGATTTGACGATAAATATTGAATGCAACACAAATATATGAAATGACTATGATCAATACATCAAGTACATTCCAAATCGATTTGAAATATTGCAATTTAAAATGTCGTATCTAAATCAAAACAATGGTTCGATCCCAAAAGTTCACATCGAACTTACTTCAAGTGTTTCTTCAACTGTATAATAAACTGTAAAAGCTGTGAACAAAACTTCACAGGCTAATACAAAATAATCCATGCTTGAAACATACTGAAATCATTCATAATTTTCTTCTACTGATTTTCTTTCTCTACTATTCAACGAGTACTTACACGAATGAGTTTGACTGTTGAAAACGATTTCGATGGTACAGCTCCGCCTGATGCCGGAAATTCAACCATTAATTTAATTTGACAAAACAAATTAATATTTGCATTATAAACGGTAAAATCTAAGAAGACAGCACGTGTACCACGATCTATCCATAGATTTGCATTTAAGTCCTTCAATTGAGCTGAAGCATCATTATAATTTGGTGTTAACTCTTGTACGAAACCGCCACCGCCATATACAGATATCAATCCACTTGTTGATCGACCTGAAAGTTGTTTTGATGTTTGATAATGCCAACTAAATATTTCATTAGATAACAAAGAAGAAAAAATGATACATAACACAAAAACAGAATAATCTTACGCATTCGGCGTTATAGTATCATTTTCCGGTAGATAGGAACTTCGATTTTCTCTACTACTACTATAGGGTCCATAACATTCACGTATAGATTGCTGAAATATTTCATGGACAGTACATGAATGGTTCGTAACCTTGAAAAAACTATTGAAAAACGCGAAAACAGAACAAGATTTTACTTACTCGAAGTTGCCGAATTCGTGGTAAACCAAGAATTTTATTTTCAAATAAAACATAACCATATTGATCGTTGGTTAAATTTTCTCCATTGTACCATTTTTGATCAAATAACGCGCTTATTACAGGGCCATCCATAACCTAAACATTCCAAACTGTATTTGAATAGATGCGCATACGTGAATCTTACCTTCCAAAAATCATCAAAATTACCAATATCATCATATGTTGGCTGAGCACCAAGGCCTTCAACGTTTCGTTCAGTAAAAACCGAACGTAAAACAGTTGTAAAATAATATGTTTTTGTTGATGTCATGCCAAATGTAACTTAAAAAAGAGCCAAAAATGTATAAATAATTGTTTTCAATAGAATACGAGTAACAGTAGGTTTGGAGAAAAAAAACTCATTATTATTTTACTTCAACGAAACGGTTTTTCTTCTGCTTGATTACAAAAATAGATGAAATGCTTTGTATACTTACTGATGCATAGAATAGCGATGAACACTAAGTAGAGAACAAGTTCTTTTATTGTAGTTTTGATGTATAACTCTTTGTTCTTTTGAAGATTTTTTTCTGTTTGTCGTGTTGCCCAAAGAGCTAAATATCAATGAACAAAATAAATAAATCTTAGTCACACATAAAACCTATGTAGTTTCGATGTTTTCACTATGGTCAAAAGCATTTAATTCAAATTTGAAAAATCATATTGAAAAATGTTAGTTTTCCCATTCGGGAAGCAGCTGTAAAATATAATTTTTTTTTTGTAAGCGTATCATCTTACATAGAAAAATATTCTAAAATACATTGTCAATCTACGAGAATTTCGGTGAGAAATCCATTAAATAGAAAGCTTGCTGAGACTATTGCGATTTGATTAAAACACTTTTATCAAAGTGAAAAGAACTTTTCATTTGACCAATAGGATATTTACATCGAATGCCACGAAGAATAGCTCGACCGAAGTTTGTTTTAGTAATTGGTTCATGTCGATCGGGTTCTGGATGTATTTGAGTTGTATTATTTTCATCTGTTCGAACAATAAAAATATTGGAACCCATCGGACTTGCTCCGCCACTGGTTTTCACTCCAACTGACTCTGCGTTAAAGTCTGCATTGGCATGAGATGTTGGTCTTGACTTGTTTCCCGTGCTCATATCGATGTTTTTTCTTGTGTGGTTCACTCTGCAAACACTTTTTAATGTGATATTGAAAAAAGAATTTCTCACGTCAATCTAATCTTTTTGTTGTTGACGCAAACTTGAGAGGTCCACTGAGAAATGTCGTTTCCTATATAGGAGAATTACTTCTCGTTTAGTATTTTTTATAATATTTTCTGTCTCTTTGTTTTACTTATTTTCATCAACCGGTATATTCTAATTAACGAGAGAGTAGTAGCAAGGGAATATATTAAAACGTAAAGTCATTCTTCTAAAGACTGTGTGCGAGCTACTTTCAGGAAAAAATAATAGTCGACAAGACTACTAGTTGCTATTATCGTTACTGAAAGAAAAAGCACTACGTCAATGGGAATAAAACATTATTTAACAATTCCTTAGTGTATATTGCTTAAAAAAAACTGTATCATGATATAGAAACAACAACAGAACATAAATTAATTCGAAAACAAGTCATACACGTTTAGCTCAAGACTACAATCATTTGCCGACAATAGAAAAAGGTTATTAAATCCGTTTTTTTATTTACAATTGGCTCTTTGATTCGATTTGCCATAGCCGATATCAATGCAGAAAAAAAGTGAAACAATAAATAATTCATGATTCCTAAACAGTTGTTGTTTTTGTTTGCTTGAAAATGCTCAAAGCTCTATTTAATCATCTAAAAGTAATTGCCATAATAACAAACTATTTGGTCACGTTTTTTCTCTCTTGAGTAGAAAATTCATGTTTGGAGAAGCGTTAAAAGACGTTTTTTCAAGTAAAGTGTAAAATTTGATTTTTTTCGCTGGTGAAAACTTTAATTTGTTTTATTTGAAAGGCGTTACACGTCGGCCGGGACAACTCTAATTTCGTATGACATAAAATTTTGAAAGACAAATATTGATACTGAAAATAAGAAAAGATAATGTTGATCTTTCTGTCTTCTACAATAAAACATCAATCGCCCAAATGAAATCAATTATGCGCAAGAGACGAAATTATCCATTGAAAAAATAGAGCTATACTAATAGTCTCAAGTTATTTGTTAATATTCACCATGAATTTTCTTCTACGATTGGTATGAGTTTTTAGTTTGTTTCGATTGTAATTAACATCATTTTGGCATATCGCATGTTTCAAAACAAACATATTTTCTCCTATGTAGAGATTGCCCTTTAACTTAAGATAAATAATAATAAAAAAAAATTCTTATCGACACTTGTTGATATTCGACAATAATTTCCGTTTCTCCTCTACGCTATGCCATTGAGTATTCGCGGTTACGATTGAATTCATGTAACTTCCTTCTGTTATTTAAAATTCACGAAAAACTGTCAGAATTGATTTTAACTTAGCGATCTGAAAAATGAGCGCCAACCTTTGTCTAAAGACTTTCATGACATTTGATAGAAAATATTCGTATTTGAGTTTTATTCAATAGAATTCATCTGTTGTCTTTTACCGCATAGAATAATTTGAATTGAGATTTACTCCTATAAAGAGCGATGTTTCTTGTCAACAAATATCATTAGAATAAATTAAGATACATTAAATGACGAAATTTATCTTTCTTCTTTTTTTGTCTATTTGCTATATAAAAGAAAACGAAATAAGTAACCTTCGCGATTCTCAGTGGTAAGAAAAGATTCTTTTTCTTTGCAGGCATATAGACCAACAAAGGATTCTGAGTGTAATCTAATCCTCATGTCTTCAACGAAACACATGATGTGGTTGACTGCGAGTAAGCATGCATTTTTGTCAACAGTAATTTGTTCCATCTTTCAACTTTATCTGTCGAGTACAAAATCGTTTCTCGTCTTTTTTTTGATTTTATCGATTAGTGACAAAAAAAATAGAGAAAGGATTTTTTTCTTGGTGTCTCTTTCATGGTTTTTTTTTCGAATTCGCCTATTTGCTTTGTGTAAATGCATTCGATATGCATCAAACGAAGACTAGAATATTTTGTGTTTCCTGTGAAGTGAGAAGACATTTTAATCTTCATACTCTTCCATATATATATATATGTACAGGTCATAAAAGATCATTTTCATAGTCGATGATGTTACAGCCTCTTGAAAAAAAAAACATTTATCAATAAGTCTATATCATATTCTAATAGACACAAGGTGAGTGACTAGGAACAAAAAAATAGTCTGTTCAAATTTGATGACGTGTGGTAAGATTAAACATATTATCATTGAAATGCGAAGGGTGAGTTTATAATATATAGATTCGTCGTCTTGATGTTGTTGTATGACATCCTTAAGTCCAAAGTAAACATGTACGAAAAATAGGAGGAAGAAGAAGAAGAAAGTAAGAGACCTATGTGTAATTAAATGTGATGTAATCATTGATGTAAAAAATCTTTTTGTATGATGTGATCATCTTTCATGTTCGCTTTTGTTTTAATCAAAATACGTTAATCGTAAGTATGAAGAATAAGAAAAGAGAATAGTAACGAATGGCATTGACTTGCTCTTTATGATGAGAAACAAAATAAAATGGCTATGATAAGCCTTGATTTTATATATGGCAGAATAATAAAATACTATACTAAACTATTAATCGTTATAATAAAAAAACAGAGAAGTTTGCTTTTATTTTTGATTTGAAATAAGTTATTGAACGAAATATATTAATATGGATATATTGAGTTTTGCGACGAAATTAAGCGCTGGAAAACACCATTCAATACAAAATGATGATGTTTTTATTGATCGACTCAATCATAGATATACAGTAACAATGATATTGGTCTTTGCTGCTATTGTTACAACTCAACAATATTTCGGTTCACCAATAACATGTTGGGTAAGAGTTTTGATTTCATTCGCATTTCAATTTCGATCTATTCTAGGTACCCGCACAATTTACTGGTGGTTACGAAAAATATGCGAATGACATCTGTTGGATAATGAATACGTATTATATTCCTATGGAAAATGATATTCCACATTCAGAAACAACACGAAATGAGCGTGAGTTGCAGTTGTTTTTTCATTGCTTTGTAATTTATTGACATATGTGTGCATGCTAATGATTAGAAATGTTGAAATATTACCAATGGTCACCATTTATTTTATTGTTTATGGCGCTTTGTTTTTATTTTCCACGTATGCTTTGGAGATCGTTAAATAATAGATCCGGTTTAGATATTGAAAAGTTAGTTGGTGCAGCTTTAAAACAGGAGCAAACGGACCAACATGAAGAACGACAGAAAAGCATTGATTATATTACGAATTCGATACGTGTCTATATTGAAAATCGGTATACTTCTCCAGAACAACCCAATTATCGTCCGAAAAATTGCTTACAACGATTTGTATATCCATTAACATTTTGGCGTCATCGTCATCTAAGTTCATTTATAGTTGTATTATTTACATTTGTTAAATTTTTATTTCTTCTTAATTCATTAGTACAAATATTTCTTTTAAATGCGTTTTTGGGTAATGATTATCATCTATTCGGTTTTGAAGTTATTTCAAAATTTCTTCGCGGTCTTGATTGGGGCGAATCGAAGCGATTTCCCCGCGTTACATTATGTGATTTTCATATACGTGAAATAGGCATTACACATCGATATACCGTTCAATGTGTTTTACCGATTAATTTATTTAATGAAAAAATTTTTCTTATTCTTTGGTTTTGGATTTTACTATTAGCAGCTTTTAATACGGGTGATTTTATTGCATGGTTAGCACGTACTTTGCGTATTGATAGTCGTACAGCATATGTAAGACGAAAACTAGCCATGAATCGTTCTTCGGACAATGAATCAACGGATCAATTCACTAGTCCAGAACAAAGAAAATTGAATGAAAAAGTTCGTAATAAAGCGTTCGTTCGTGATTATTTACAAGAGGATGGCTGTTTTACACTTCGTCTTCTTGCACGCAATGGACAAGATATAATTGTTGGAGAAATCATTGATAAATTATATCAACATTTTTGTACGATCTACGAGCGCCAACATGGCAATGCGGATCGAACATTGGCATTAACTAAATCTAATCAGCATTATTCATCGCTACCACCTGTTCAACCACGGCAATTTGAAATATCAAAAAATGATGAAGAAAACCGACATTTAGTCCCACAAAATAAAGCGTGATGACCACATGAATCTTCTCTCGTATTTCTTTCTTTTTTTTTATATTCTCTACGTTCTATTATGTGATATGTTTTAGATCAGTTTAAGAATGAATGAATTAATACCATAGGAAACAAAAGATGAAGTTTTCTATTCGATGATTCATTCAAGGACATTTTACTAGTGATATTTTAAATCAGCATATGCGTGATTTTGTTGAAGAACGATATGAAATTTTCACATATTGACTAGTCCTATATTTTCAAGGTAATATTAAACACGATAGAAAATTTTCAACCAATTCAAATCAATATTTCAACATTTTTTCCTTCTGTTTCTAAATGAGTTTTTATCATAGGTAAATAAATTTATGTCTTGTCAAGTGTTTAACCGATTATGAAGAAAAAAAGGTCATAAATTAGTCAACTAAACAATTTCTATGTAAATCATGAATGTCCGGATCGTTAGAAAATCGTGAAACTTGAAATCGTTGATAATTTTTATCTTCCAGTTTGCTGTATATGTTGATAAAGAAAAATTTATTTAACTTAGAATTACCATATATTCAAGGTTGATATTTTCATTCGTGATATTAAATCAATATGAAATTTAGAATTGATTTGTTCTAAACATAGAATTGAATTAGTTCCAATGATACTTCTCTTAATCTTTCAAAAGTCAATAAACAAAGTAAATATTCATTTAAAACCTATTAATAAATATTGTTACGTTTAAAAACCAGATGCAGACCTTGGTTTTCAATCCTCTTTTCAAAAATTATATTATGTCATCTGGTTTTTTTATATATGTATATATAGATATATATATATATATATACGAAACAGCAAGAAAGATAACAAAGATACATATAAGGTATTCTGATTCCATTTCCATTTAAACAAAAAAAAAAGAACTCACGAAAAATGCAGACATAGATAACTCAAATATTCTCTTTTATAACACTTATAAACATCGACTAGGATGTATATTCGCGTCTGTTTACAAAACCGAACAAGAAAAATTCGCTGTCCCAAAATGAATACATAAAATCGTTCACAATAAAGAAAAACAAATGACCAGAACACACGACAATTAGAATATGAAATACAGTTCATTCCTTATTCACCTAGGCATAAGACAGATTAATAAAGGAAATAAATATACAATTGCGTCATTTTCAAACAACAATCAAAACGAAACAAACAACAGTCAAAATAATACATAAGATATTGCGCTACAAAACTGACGACAAGAAAAGAAGAAAAAACATCAATCACAAAAGAAAGACTTGCTTGGCTGTTCATTCTCAATCGTATTTTAAACTATTCGTGTTCGTTTTTTCTTCTTTTACAATACTGTTCGAAAAAGACAAAGAACTCTCACTGTAATTTTTTAAGATTAATCTAAAAAATGACTAGGCCTGTTTATTTAGGCATGAACAGGTGATGATACGTTCGCCAGTAAATTATGTGTTGATTGATGGTGGTTTTCTACTTCTTCTTCTTCATCCACGTCATCATCGCCATCATTCTCTTCATCTTCATCAATATCGTTTGAACTTTCTTTTTTTGACATATTCACTGGTTCTTGATCATCAATATTTGATGACTTTATGATTAATTGAGAACGATTAATTGGTTCTAATTTAACTTTATTTGGTACAAATATTTCATTATGCTGCTGTTGGCTTGATAAAGCATTAGAAAATAATGGTTGTGTGACTGTTGTTGTTGCATTCGCTGCACTCAACGTTGTACTTGTATTAGTTGTTGTTGTTGTTGTTGTTGTGGAAAGATTATTATTTGGTATTCGAGAACGATGACTTGACCGTAAATGTGAATACCAATCTTTTGGTATTGGAAATGTTTGATTACATAACTCGCAACGATGTGGTCGTGTACCAGAATCATGTGTTTTAACATGACTATTAAAATTACCTATTGTTCGGTAACTCTTCAAACACAATGGACATGCGTATGGTTTTTCACCCTAAATAAAAGAAGGTTTAATTGAATTGAAATAAACTGTTGAAACACCTGCCACGATTAAGCATGCAACCGAGCCGGCAGTAGAACAGGAAGTTCGACTTCGGCTATACGAAGGAGTATGAGCGAACGAAATCGGAAGTTCATACGCGGCCCATGTTTAGATACCATGGTAAACAATGCATAATCATGCTTTTTCTCTAGTCGTCAGCTGGGTCATTTTTTTTCTGTCGATGAAAAGAGGTTTTTATTTGTATTTTAGAGTATAGTATGTTTCTATGTAGAAAACTTGTCCAGAAATAAAGAATTTCTGGTGTCTTGCTTTTTTCCTCAGTTAATTGCCATTAGGAACAGATAATGCGAATTAATATGGTTATATTGATACCTCTATCAGTAGTGAAGCAACAGACTAGAGAATAGTTTGTTTTGATGTTGTAACTATTTGTCCATGTTTATAAACATTTGCTCGATAGAGAGAAGAAATACTGCACCCTCAAGTTTTCGTATACGCTAGTACTTTTATATTTTCATTACACATGAAAACTGCCGACCGGTAATAGTAATCGGCTGGTAGGTTTGTTTGCTTACCGTGTGAATTCGAACATGAATTTGAAGATCTCCAGAATTTGTAAATCGTTTTTCACAATAAGTACTGAAAGTAAATGTGAAATTTTCTTATGGAAAAAAACAAAATTTCAATTTTTAGTTACCATGGATAAGGTTTATCATTTGTATGTCTTCGTACATGAATTTGTATATTCGTCACAATTTTTTCACAAAGACCACATTGATACTTTTTTAAATTTCCCAATTGTTTTGCCATAAACACTTGCTTTTGTCCTGTTTGGTTAATTGCTGTTATTGTTAAACCCTCAGCTGTAGGCGTGGTTGATATTGTTGATGATAATTGCTTATTCACATTTGGGATATTTGTTCCATTCTGTTGAAGACCATTTGTACTTATACTCGAACTATCATTACTTGCATCACCCGTCGAAAGGATGTCATCGTCTTGGTCATCTAACGATGGCGAAAGTATTGTGGCGACATTTGTATAACTTGTTGGAACTGACGATGAAAAGATATTATTTGTTGTTGTTGTTGTTGTTTCTAATGCAGTGGCAGCTGATGATAATGATGTTGGTTTTCGACGTGTACGACTTTTTGATGTATCTTTTAAAGAATAATTTAGTTTTTCTTTCTTTCTCATGCATTAGAAAGAAAATATTCAATTCACAGCAAACATGCGTCTCATGTCAAACTCATGCTCTCTTACCTCAAACTATTTAGAATACTAATAACAATATATCTTAACTTTTCTCGTATGGATAAAATTTTAAAGAAAAAAAATATCTTACTATGATCTGAAGTAACATCATTAAGGCCATTTGATAAATTGAGACCATTCGAGCCAATATCAGATAGAGTTTCCGTTCCCTGTTAACAAAAAGAAAGCGATACTAATTACTAATAAATTTAATTTGCAGGCTAATAGATCCGAAGGTAAACCCAAATACAATATTTTAGCTTTTTTTTGAGTGTCGGGATAAGTGATCACTAAACTCTCTTCTAGTATCACATTTAGCCACTTAAGATCGCAAGAGTGGAAAGAAGTCGACACTTATTGATATCGATTTTTTCATTAAAAACAGAAAATAGTTCAAAGTAGCATGTCATCAAACTTGTAAAAAATCGAAGAATTTATTTTTAATTAACTCAGATCGATCAAGTGATCCGGCTATCAACGATCTATATATTCTTATCTATCACGATATCTTCGCTCAAACACGAGCTACAATTTAATTCTCTTGAATAGTCAAAACTGCAAATTAAGCATTGCAAAACAAAAATCAAAATAATTGGAATTCGAACGTTCCGCTAAAAGTCAACAATACATGTTTCATTAGTTATTCCCATGTGTATTCCGAGGTCGATTTCTATTTGAAGGCGATGAAAACGTTAGTGTTCTTTTCATATTAGTGAACAATAAAAAATTGTTCAAGATTGAAGAGTGCCAACGCCCTCCTCCTCCTCCTTTTCCCTCTTCGCCTAGTCAATATGTTATACAAGAAAGAAAGCCCGATAGAAATAGCTCTACTTCCTCCCGAATTCTAGCTCTTTAGTAGAACAGACTGTATATACATGTTACAGGGGAAATTGAAATTTTAATCTCCCCTAGGGCAAATTAAAATTTTGTTTTTTCCGGGTTCAATTTATGAGAAAAAGTAAAGATTTTGACTTCAAAACGTACTACATTCGCACCCACATCAACATTGGCATCTAATTATCAAGTTCCATCACATCAGTCTTTTCAAAATACCTGAATTCGCGCAAAAGACACTCATCTTATTTGTGGGTATGAATGTAGCGTGTACATGAGGGTGTGGGTGTAAGTGCGTGTATGGGTGCTAGTATTAGTGTGGGTATGCATGCAGTACGTTTTAAAATCAAAACTTTTACTTTTTCTCATAAATTGAGCCCGGAAAAAAACAAAATTTTAATTTGCCCTAGGGGAGATTAAAATTTCAATTTCCCCTAAGGGCTATTTTAAATAGCCCTGCATTTCAATCTCCCCTGTAACATATATATATTTTTTTTTTCTTTGCCGTATTATTTGAAAATTCAACATACGGATAGAAGAGAGACGGCAATACGTTCAATGTGATTGCCTTTCACCGAGTTGAACGGTCGACTATTTATTGATGATGGAGAAGATACAGAACCGGGCGTTGTTAAATTAAATAAAGAAAGATTATTAATTGATATATCAGTCATAATACTTGGTTTAAGTAAATTAATACAATTATAAGATTCATTATTCGATGTGTCCGAAAGCATATTCTACAAAAACCAAAAGGAAAAACATAGATGAACAATGCCAAAAAAATAAAACTCTATTATTTATTTACCAACGGCTCTTGATCTTTCGTTGAACGTTTAAATTTCTTCTTTTGATATGTTGTTGTTTCATTTGAACTCTCATTTTTTCGCCTTGAATTTGCTCGTTTATTTGATAGTGATGATGAAAATAAATTTTGCGTCTCAATAGGCTCATTATCGTCATCATCATTATCATCATCATTATTATTATTATTATTATTATTATTATTATAAGGCGATGGAATTTTCACAATCAATTGTACACTGCTTGTTGGTTTTTTATTATGATTTAATGTTTGATTGATATGTTTTGGTGCGCCTTTACGTTTCGATAAACGTTTTGGTTCACTTGCTTTTTGCTCCATGATTATTTTCGGTTGCGATGAACTTTTTATTTGTTTATCTAATTGATAACGAACGATTTGTGATGTTTTACGAAATTTAGATCGAATCGTCTTTTGTGTTTGTTCAAATGAGCGATAGGCTGTTTCAAGTTTTGTCAGTGATGTTGCACATGTACCACAAATCACATTTGAATAATGATCATTTGGATTATTTTCAGGCAAACTTATACATAAATAACGTACAATTAAATCACGATAACGAAATGGACGACGTTTGTAAATATTGAAAATTCGATTTGGATGGTGTGAACACCAGATTTTATGATGTAATGATGATGTATCTTTCAGACGCGTATAACAAAGACGACAACGATCTTTTATGCTCGTCCCAGTGGTCATTTCTATTTGAAAGGAGAAAATATATATATGAAAGTAACTAATGGGCATGATTATGATCGATGGAATATAATAGAAAAACGTATTTACGTAGTATTTTCTAGTTGAAGAAAAGGAAATCTAATTCATGAGATGTTAACGTTCTATTTATTAAAACAAAATCATATTAGGATTATAATGACCGTGATCTCACTTTAGAGTGTGTGCAGGAAAAATAAAATACAGCTATAAGCTGACAAAATTCTTCACTCAGGTAACTTTTTCTTCTTTTTCTTCTACCAACAACATACTTCGATTATACTATTACACACTTAACATACATACAGCGAAATAGTATATGTAGGAAGATAGAGAGAGAGAAAAAAAACAGAATGCCGTACTGGTTTTTTTGTCTTTCTCTATCTTACTATCAGAAATCTCTCTTTTCTTTGAATTTGTTCAGTGACGATGGCGGCAACAATGTCGGTGGTCTTCTTTGCGCGTTCGCTTGCGTTTGCGCGCGTTGACATAACTCTCTCTAGTCCTCCCGGAAAAATATATGATGAAAAAAATACGTATGGAGATAGCAAGCAACAGTGGGTGTTCATGAAAAAAAAACTGGAGGGGGGGGGGGGGGGGGGGGAAGAAAAAT